TGACAGAATAGATGAGTCACGAAGTGTTTGCAAATTCGCTTGCATTTGAATCCATCTTTGCAATGAAGGAAACCTGTGAGCAAAGGAACGGATGAGAAACATCGACTAGCAAAATACAGGATACCTTTCTGCTTGCTCGACAGCAAAATCATTTCCAATTTTCGAGTCCTTGTTACCAAATACACATGCCAGGATAGTTCGCACGGGGGAGAGTGTACTCAAGAACTTAATGGTGTCCAAGTCCAGCTCATGGGATGGGTGCTGAGAAATTGTTGATGCGCTGGGAGGAAGAACTGGCGACACACAAGCAGAAATTACTTGATGCACCAGATCTATTCCCATCACTTCAGCAACTTTAGCAGCTCCATCCGTGCTGCGCCTCTCAAATGCTAGTCGAGTTAGCAACTGCAAAATAGATAAATTCCATGGAAAATTTAAAATGGAAATCCTCTGAAACATTCTTACATCACCCGGACTCTCGTACAAAAGCGAGAAAAAGTTGAAGTCGTGAGTTGTATCCACACCGTCGACAATATCTCCAATGGTTGCCACATAGAGGATGAACGCGGACAAGTAAGCCATAGGCTTGTTCAGCAACGGTCCCAAATATCTCCTTCCTATCGGCCTTTGATGTAAGGCCTCGTCAGTGCTTCCGGCTGTTTCATGTGTCCTCAATAATAAAGGACGAAATCCCAGACCAAGTGCGAAACCATTCTCCTGCTGCTTTCGATAAAACAACAGCCTCGAGGCAGGATCCTCGTGCTCCTCATCCGCTAAGGCCTTTACAAGGTTGTGAAGCTTGCCTACACAAGAAAATTAAACAAGCTCAAACAGGTATTAAACGAACTTACCACTTAAGAACTGGCCTTTCCCATTATGTGCATCCTCGATTATCTGATGTAACATGGTCAAGGCCCGCTGCTTTGATCCCTGGCGCAGGCTTTCGGAGCCAGAAAAAGCACTAGTGCCAGAGAGAAGAACAGGAAGGGGTTGATTATGTCCCTGAAAAACGCAAAGTGTTACACACGAAACACGCGAAAGAAATAGAGCCCGACCTGTTCCAGCAACTCGTAAAACCTTTGAAGAACACGCTTGAAAAGTGGTACGAAATGCTGCTCATGTGTGGCCTCAGATACCAACGATCGTGACTGGAAATGGAAAGAGATGTGAATTACAGAGAAATGTGTTTCAACCCTTACTTCTTCCAAAAGCAGCATGGAGGTCTCAATAGATGATGTGCGCGTTGCAGCAACATCCAAACAAGTTACACACTGAAATTTCGTTAAACTCGAATGTGGATCTAAAAAATATCAGCTTACACTTGACTCTGGCGCCAATGAACGAGTAAAGCGTTGTAATTCTTCTGGACCCTGAAGGAAAGTTCAGTACAAATGCCAAAGTGTCAAAGCGGAACCCGTACCTTTTTTTCCCCAGCAGCATTATGAAGCCATTCAGCCAAATGCAGTAGCACATTATTTTCAAGCGTAAGCGAGTACCGCTGGACTGCATCCTTAGCTAAGTCATATTCAGATCTCAAAATGCACCTAGAGACCCGAATGGGAAAGGATTAGCAAAAAACAAAAGAAAAGAAAGAAAGAAAGAAAGAACCAAGCAACTTACATGTTTAGAAGTGAAAGAGGTGCGGAGTGAAGAATACCAAGAGCTGATTTCCACGACAGTTGTTCTTCAGGACGCAAAATCAGTCTTTCAACCACTAGCAAGCGCCAGTTCCAGTCCTCGACAAAACGGCTTATTTTGAGGCGCTCGTTCTCCCAGCACTCCCTCCATTCCGGATCAAGTTTGGCTTTCCCATAAGCCAAACTGAAACCCGAGGGAGGGAGATAGCGATGCAGTATTTCCAGCGTGCGCCTCACAAAAAGCATGACAAGTTGTTCACGGTCCTCAATTAATCGTTGAGAAGTGTCTAGCGACTGTAAAGCCTCCTCAATAGGCATGTCTTCCAAAACGTGCTCCTCCTCCATTTGAAGGAATGTGACGATCATACCGAGCATCCAGAGCTGAAAACAAATACAAGTTAATATACACCACAGTTCATTTCTCCACTTACTCGGCGGACTGGAGTTTTTATCGCTTCGAGATGTTGCTGAAGCTCACTCAACGATGTCAAGCCCGCCGTCTTAATTTTATCTTCTGCTGTCACTGCTATCATTGCTACTGCTGTAGCCTGAAGAGCATAATGCATATATAGAAGTTCCAAATCATTATGCCTTTTAAGACCGAACGTTAGCAAACAGATGACGCAAAACCTCGGACGTCATACCTATGCATCAAATCCAGAGATGAAGAAACCGGCTGAAGTTTCAACAAATTTACCGCATCTCGCAATCTTAGATTCGGTATCATATCGAAGATAACCTACAGCCCGCTTGTTCGTTCATTAGCAAGAGTTTTAATGGATGAACTTACACGAAGTGGGGACTCATCAGCAAGACGTTCAAGAACAAGATTTGCTGCAAAACTGTCCGACGGTACTGTTGATTCACTCTTTAGCAAGCGAGGCCCTTCAAACTCATTTCTTGAGCCGGATTTTACTTGTGCTACAAAATACGCCACTTCCAAGTTGTAGCAAAGTCGATCACACAGGTCTTCAATGCACGAAACCTGCAAGGAATGCAACTCAGCAAAACGTTTTACACGGTCGAAGAGAACTTACTTCATGGACAAGCTTTCCTGAGGTAGGAAAGCCTTTACCGAGTTTCGATTCCGAATACCAAAGAGTTTCCATCATATTACGACGGCCGGTTGTGTTGCACGTCAAGAGGTTCCAACCCATGGCCGCAACTAATGGGCGAAGCCTAGGAAACGGAACAAGAACCTGAAGAGGAAAACACATACACATTACTTATTACAAGAGCCTGCCCAAACAGTCCCATACAAATCAAACTCAGGCTTATGAGGTTATTAGAATCTATCTGTCTGTCTACCTGTGTGCAATGCGAAGGAATGCGGAGGGATGCAGTAAGAAACGATACAATGGCTGGAAGCATACATACATCTGCCGCAAGCTCGAGTTGAGACGTCCTGATGGCATCCAGAGCAATCTTAGTAGCTGTCTCAAGGACGTGCTCTCCTTTCGCCCGAGAATAATGAAAAGCGTTTCGCATGAACTCCCGTAATACTGTCTCGGCCGTTGACACATTCTGTTGCTGCAAGGCTTCATGTTGCTGATGCAAACTCCAAAATGGACGTGGAATAACACCTTGAACTTCCTGTTCAGCCTGAATAGGCTTATCCCGGGAAGCCTGGAAGCAGCAAACCAGACGAGGATGAGCCAGAAAGTCGCGTTAGCACGAAGACTTACCTCCAACACACTTAGCAATCGGGTGCTACCAGAAGAAAGAATGCCTTCATAAGCCAAGGAGAACAGCCTTTTCTTGTCAGCCACAACGCACCGGTCACCTAGTAGCGATACAACTTCGCTGCCAGAACCAGAACAACTCAAACAATGATTTACAATCAATGCATAGATTCACCTGAAGTCAGCCTCCGGGACTCCACAACGCTCGTCCAGGTACTTCAAGTGGGAAATCCCTTTTTCTAGTTCCCCTCGATCGACAAACTCTTTGATGCGCTTCAAATGAACAAGCTGCACCTGCTGAAGAAAGATAAAACCGAAACCATCCCCGCGGAACTCCTCATCAAGCTCGCTCTGTCTTCGAATATTTCTACAAATCGCAGCCATCGTCTCAGGCTGAGCGACGGTGTAACACTCGACCCAGCTCTCCAACTTCTCCAGCTGCTCTGCGCTAAAACCAGAATTTACACGGCCCTGCTGCGAAGAACCAAGCAGCCCCTCCAATCGTCCGAGGAAAAAAAAGGTGATATCGTGCGAAAACCCCGCGTCTATCACTCGACTCGCCGCTTCACTATCTACACACTCTCCCGTCGCGTCGACACCACAGCCCTGTCTACTACTACTCGATCCTAAAGTTCCATCACCTATCTCCCTTTTCCCAGCACCATCCAGAGTGATTTTCCCTTCTAGCATCTCCAGCAGGAGGAGCATTTCCACCAATTCCCTGACGAGCTCGATGCCGGCGATGGAAGTCCCGTCCAGTTCTTCCAACTCCAAAACACACATCCATGCGAGCTGCGCTGGCGATTCCACCAAAACACCTGCCATGCGGCCACCGACAACCACCACGGCCCGCAGCAATGCGATCGCGGCCATCGCATTCTTGTCGGACAGAGTCTTGATCGCTGCCCGGAACGCCTCAAACTGACCTAGGAAGAGATGATTCGCGGCGACGCGAGCCAGGATCTGCTCCTCGTCCGTCGCCAGGAAATCACCCTCGCCATCGCGATCCTCGCCCTCCTCCTTCTGCTGTTGGTCCCGGGGCCGGGATTCCATCAGCGCCATCGCTCCTCCTCCGCCATTCTCTTCCATGCCTAGAAGATCATAAACCCTAAAGGGTAACAGAATATACTAAAAAATTAAAGTACATAAGTTAAAGAAGAAACGGATCTTTGCATCAAATAGAATTCCAAGAACCCTAAAATAGGGGAAAGAATGGCCTGGCGGCAAGTGATGAATCGCGCGGCGCCCTGGCGGAGCGGCGGGCAGATTCTTGGGCGGCGCTGGGCGGCATTGTGTGAGGATCATCAGGTGTGGAGGGCAGTGCAAGGGCGCCAAAGTCCAGACGCGCCGTGGAATGCAATGCAGGGGTTTGGAGCTCCATCCGACGACCTAGCTCTGTTGATTCCCGTGGGATTGCCTTTGCCCTGGCCTGCAAACGGTCCAGCGCCATGGTCAGCTCACGATGAGGGTACGCTTCAAGAATTACTTGCATTGTAGAGACTATAGGCCTGGAATGTGACAGTGAAATGCCCCGAGATCTTGGATGCCGACGAGAGGTAATCGCTGTTCTTTCTCTTCGGTTTTAGTTTGAGAATCTCTTTTTCTTTTCGGATTTGTCATTCCTAGCTCGATGATCATGATGCCCAAGAGGACTTATCAGCCAAACAACAAGAAGCGGAAAAGGACTCATGGATTTCTCGTGAGGTGAGTGAAGTACCCAGTCACTTTCTCGCGGATCAAAGCCAAGTTTTGTTTGGCGCAGGATGAGGACTCCAGCGGGGAGACGGATTATCAGGCGTAGACGGGCCAAAGGAAGATGGAGGCTAGCAGTGTAGCAGGCACATTTGTAAGTTGACCAGTTCCAAACTAGTTTTGTGCTTTGCTTTCAAAGACTTGTTCGGCAAAATTGAGCCCAACTTAATGAGTTGAGCTCAAAGGCAATGGTAGTCAACGGAAGTCTTTATTGTCATTGACTTCGTTTTGCATTGACTAAAACTTTTTTGTCCAAAGCATGCATAAACCCTAAAAAATTAAAGTTAAGCAAAATAAGGATATGCCAAAGAATTTATAATTATTTGGATCACATGAATCACTTGGTGGGACAGTTAGAGGGTGAGGGATTATCATTCTTGGCACTCCTAAAATTTCTTGACAGCCGACACTAGTAGAAAAAAAGTGTTCTTTCCCCTCTCATGGATCTCAAGAAATTCTGGCTGCCAGTATTCATTGGAATTCTCGTCTTCTCGCCCTGCGATGCAGCGAATTCGCGGAATTCGAGCGCCAAAAACTGGAGCAAATCCCTGGACGCCACATTTCCAGAGCAGCTCCGGCGAGGATTGAGATCATGCGCCACAGTCGCCAGCCCGGGCGAGGGCGGCGTGTGCAAAATCCTCGCGGCCATGGACGAGCAGCTCAAAATCCTGGCCGCGCCCAAGAATCGCGATCCTCCTCCAAGGAATTCTTGCAAATTCAAGAGTGAGAATGGAGCATCGCTTCATAGGTACGCGACGGATCGATCGCCGGCGCTCCAGGCGCTGCTCGATCGCTACTCGACAATGCACAGCGCCTGCGTCGCGCGCGACCACGACAATCTCCACCACATCATCGCCAAGAACACCGCCAAGATCACGAATCCCAGCCAGTGCCGCTACATCGTGTGGAGCTGTACCTTCGGCCTGGGCAACAAGCTCATGTCCCTCGTCTCCACATTCCTCTACGCGATCCTCTCCCAGCGGGTCCTCCTCCTCGAAGAATCTCCCTCCTGGGATCGCCTCTTCTGCGAGCCCTTCATCGATTCACACTGGAAGCTCCCGCGCGGCCTCTCCCTCAAGGACGATCAATCCATCTCTTTCCCGGATTTCTATGCGCGCTGCCGCGGCCACCTCTCTCGATCCGACGTGTGCCGCTCCCAGCCCGTCCTCCCGATCGTCTTCTCCGCCAACACCAAGCCGGAAGAACACCGATTCCTCGTCTGCCCGTCCGCCATGGCATCGGTCAGGAACATCCCAGTCTTGAATTTCCGGAACAGCAACCAGTACTTCGCGGCGGGATTCTTCCTCAATCCATCCCTGCGCCCAATCCTCGAGGCGATCTTCCCGGAGCGCCGTGTCTTCCACAATCTAGCCGGCTTCCTGCTCAACCCTAGCGACGAGGTCTGGGGATCCATCCAGTCGCTCCACAGCGTGAAATTCCGAGGCGCATCGAGAAGAATCGCGGTCCAGCTCCGCGAATCCAAGGGCGACTACCGCGACTACTACGACGCATCGGTGCCGCGCTGCATTCGATCCAAATCCGGCCTCTGCCCGATCGAGATCGACGAGTTCCTGGAATCCAAGAACAAATCCATCGCCAGCGACGATTACATCGCGGTCTACGTCGCGTCCCTGGTGGGCGAGCACGCCGCCAAGCTCAACGCGAGCCTGCGCGACGTGGAGTCCCAGACGGGGCAGAGATTCGAGCTCGTGACGCTGGGTGCTGACGAGGAGCAGCGCGATGACGTGGACCACCAGCAGAGGGCCCTCGTGGACATTTGGTCGCTGAGCCTTGCTGACGTGTTGCTGACGAGTCACATGTCCACGTTTGGCTATACGGCCCAGGGCCTGGCGGGATTAACTCCGTACTTCCTCAAGCCTTGGCGGGATGATCCTTGCTGGCCCAGCGTTTCCAGTGATCCTTGCTTCCACTTTGCGCCATCGAAGAAGCTGTCGTGCCGGGAGGATGGATTTAGCTTGAGTGCGAGAGAGAGTGGTGGCGGCGCCATGGCTTGCCCGGATCTCCCAGATACTGGGATGCAATTGTTAGAGCCGTGAGTGAATCGAAGAACTTCAATCCAGGCAAGAACAAAGCAAGAATCGATCGAGCAGGATAAACTTCGAAGAGTTTTGCGTAATCGATCCGGCCAAAACATGAATTACAATGCTAGAAGCCTAAAGTTTAGAACAGGGGATGGATGATCCGGGATGGGCGGTCATGGCGACCATCTTTGCATTGCAATTCGCGGCCACAACGCTAGCAAGAAATCCGCGATGGCTCCTATCGATGGTTCGTGCCAGGGGATTCCTTTGTTCCCATTGAGTTCTCTTGCTTTCTACCTAGGTGCGAATTAAACCCAAGAAATGCAAGGAATGTTTGGGAACTGGCTACAATGTTGAGTGATCTTCTCCTTTTTCTTGTTCGACTGGGATTTGATTCTCCTTGTGTTGAATTGGCGATTGCAGCTCTGCCTAATGTGCAAGGCCCGCGGCAAACAAGGCAGGCTCGCGCAAAACTCGAATTGCAAATCTCTCAAGCGTTGATTTTCAGGTGGGCTCTTCACTGGATCGCCGCTCGAGAAGTGCTCGCTATGCCAAGGCCGGGGAAAGATCAGCTGCGTGCGCTGCGCGGGCACTGGTATCGCGAATCGCCTCTTCTTCCGCCTCAAGAAATCCTCCCGATAAAAAATCTTCAAATTCTGTTTTTATAGCGTTCACGTCAGCCCTAACATTTGAATTCGTGTTTTAGGGTTCTTCATTCGAATGTACAAAACATATAACAAAGCTCACGCCCGTTTCCTCGCTTTCTTCGATTTCTTCCCGGACGACGATGGCGATGGCGGTCCCACCCCCGGCGCCTTCTTCTTGCCCCTGTGCTTCCTCTCCTTCGTCCTCCTCTGCTTGGGCGGAGGAGGATCGGCAATGGGACCTGGAAGAACGCCCGGCTTCATGGCGCTTCCTCGCGGCGCGGCACACGGAGGAACTCTCACCCACGCCGGCGGGAGAGGCCGCCGTGGAGACCACACGAGATTGTTCTTGAGCGCAAACCGGACCTTCTTTCCTCCTCCACTGCTTAGATCTTCGTCGCCCGACACCGACGTCGATTCCACCTCCTTCTCCGACTGTGCGGGCTGCTCGTCGCTGCCGCCTCTCCTCCTGGGTGACGCTCGTCTCGGACTTAAGCTCGGGCTCGGGCTCCGCGATCGTCTCGGGCTCCTCCTCGGACTACTCCTTGGGCTGTCCTCTGGATCGCTGTCGCTGCTCTGGAGCGCAAGCTTTAACTCGCTTCTCAGGACTCTTCGCGACTGGAACACTACCGCCTCGCCGGTGATCCTCTTCCGCTTCCTTCCATTCACGGAAAGGCTTGCCGGCTCCGCCAGCTCCTCCGCCACCACCACCTTTGGTGGCGGAGTCACGGCCGGCTTGAGCATCCCCATCGCCGGCGAGGAGACGCCTCCCTCCGATCTGCTAAAGTCTTCGCAGAGCTGCTGGAGGAACTTCTTGTTGATCGCCCCCAACGATGGCTCCGCCGAGAGCTCAAAGAACTTCCCCGCGAGTGGAAGACCGAGGACAAGAGATCCCAGGCACTTCTTTGACTCCTCGCCACCATTCTCTACCTTCACTGTTTTGCGAGCCTCCTGGAGGAGCTGTAGGAAAACCGTGTCTCTCACCCTCTGGAGCACCGTCTTGTCCGTGGACGTTGCAAACACCGCGACGAATGGCTCGAGGAGGATCCTCAGCACCTCCGACGATGGAGGGATGCGGCTGCGCAGCTCCTCCACGAAAGCCTGCGCCAAGAAGAGATTGACGCCCTGTGCCTGGCTCTCCATCAAGCTCCGCTCGCCAAAAGCCTCGGAGAACTTGGAGATGAGTTCTTCGCTCCAGCCGTGACTCTCCAGCACCTCAAACATCTGGCTCAAGCAGATCTGGAGCAGCAGCCGGAACTTCTCCAGCTTCTTTTTCTCGATGCCGCTCCATTCCACGATCATGGTCGAGAGCAGCACCTTGAACGCGAGGATGGCCACGTCCGGACTCAAGCTCCCGACGATGGTCGCTACGTTTCTTATCAGCTCACCCTGTTCCAAGGCCTTGGACGTCGACCAGATGCAATAGAAAATGCTCTGCCAGATCCTAACGAGGCACCGCTCCTCCACCATGGAGCACGAAGCCAGCCATTTTCCAAGAGCTTCCAGAGCCTTGGTCCTCACAGCCTTGTCCGGGGACGAGAGGTTCCTCGGCAAAGAAATCTCTAGCAGCGACTGTTCACTGGTAAAATCAACCTGTGCTTGGTTCTCTGGATCTAGTTTTGGCTCTTCCCGCGAAGAGTCTGGAGTTTGATCGCGATCTTCCACCCTCCAAATTTTTTCAATGGCGCCATCCACTACTTTTTCCACTTCCTGGCTACAGCCTACCTTGCCTACCTGTGAGTGTGACAGTGGAGGAGCTTGAGCTGCCCAGCCGCGATCGCCCAAATCGAGAATACCTCCACCAAGAACATCGGCTGCCATGCCCAGCGATCGATCGCAACCCTAGTGTCCTGGAAATCCACTTAGAGCCGCGAGAAGAAAGAGAGAAAAGAAAGGGATCGCGCAGACCCACGAGACCTAGGAAGCACCAGCTACTATCTCTTGTTGCGCGAAGCCCGGCAAGCGCTATTGCATCGCCTCACATCACTCGCCGCGCACGGGCAGGCGGCCAGAGCGCCGCCAAGGGCCAGATTTAAACGGAGCACAAAGCGCCACTGGAAGCCATAGCCAAATTTCTCGATCAGAATCTCGTGTGCGCGCCACGTGTCAGGCACGTCAGCAGGTGGGTACCAAATATATGTATTAAGAGGGATTATATTTGAACCTTTATGGTTGCTACTAAACTAAGGTTTTTGGGCTAATTGATAAGCACATTTCTTGTATTCCCCTTTCATATTTTATGCATTCACATAGTGAAAGTAATATATAAGAGTGAGTGGTTTAAATTAAAATCATACTAAAATCCCAATATATTAATATTACTAAAATCTCACATACTAATATTAATATATGGTATCATAGCCATACATTTGGACCTTACATCATCCCTTCCACTCAAAATAATGTAGGACCATTAAGGTTTTCTTATAGATGAGCCAAGATCTAGAGGAACATCAAGAAGAGGTATCGATGGATCTATAGGTGGTATTAAGTGTTTTTAATTCCTTTGTATGAAATGTTTTAACTATTGCATATGCATAATTTTTAGAGGATTGGCCTATTGTATGTTATGTCGAACTTCATAAACTTATGATCTAACTTGCCGCAACACTCGATACAGTCCTTTCCATTAAGCAAGGAACCCCTTAAATAAACCATGTACCATAAGATGGAGAAAATAGACTAACACTAAATCATCCACTTTATACTTTGCAAATGGATGATGACAGGAGTTGTAATGTTATTGTTGTCCTACTTATATGCAACCTAGATGTTTTGTAAACACTACTTAGATTAATAGAAGAATGCTCATCAAATACTAATTCCACGATCTAGCATCAACAGCTTGTGGCAATCACAAAGATAAACCCAATTCCATTAGTAATATTGGATCATGACCATATAGAAGTTTATATGGTGAAGCACCAATAGGACTCTACACACCTATGATATATATATATTGAAAAGACGACAAATAACCATCCCAATCCGAATATTGAAAATTCACATCATCCTTTTGAATATCCAAACGAGCCGTTCCACCAAATTCTCTAACTGTGGATGATAAACACTCATGAAAGTGTGGCATATCCCCAACTAAGATGTCAAAACATAAAATGCCTTAGCCATAAATGTAGGACCATTATCCGAAAGAATCTGCTCCGAACAAGATTGCTGAAACACCACTCAATTGAGGAGGAAGTATCCAACAGTAGTTGTAAAAGTGCTAGTAAGAGCATCAACTTCCACCTAATAAGTCAAGTAATTAGAAGCAATAATAACATACTCATTGGCAACAGTCGATCGTGGAAAATGTCCCAAATGCCACCAACTCAAATAGACGGGAAATTGTAATTGACTCCAATTATCCTTTTACAGCACGAAGGGGAGTATTACCAGTTTGGCACCAAATGCAGCTATACATATACTGAATAACATCATATTGCATCTTTGGCTAATAAAAAAACTTGTGCAGTTTCTTAGTCATATAATGATGTCCTATATGCCTACTTAGAATAAGAAAATCATGGTAAGCATGGAAAAAGTGTGGAATAAAGATCAAAAACACCATCAGTTGTAAATGATAATCAAGATCTATCCCTACAAAATAAAAAAGACCATCCTTAAGGTGATATTGAAAATGTAAATGCCAAAATATCAAGTCATTAACAAATAATATAGAATTCTCAAACCCATCGCAAAGCCATCAAATCCACAAGTCAATCTTTTAAGCCTCATAAACCTTGTTAAAAAAAGGTAAATCTTGCTCTACACTTTATGGATATTGAACATCAAGTACAATAATCACCATCAGCATGAAATCCTTATCCAAAAATTCCACAAATACTGGAATAATAGGCTCATTAAAAACATAAGAAGAGAGTGGAGAAGAAAGAGGAGCTTGAGAAACAGCATCAGTATCTACTATAGAACTCCCCAGGTGATAAACAACATTAAAATCATATATTTGAAACTTCAAAACTTACCAAGTCATATGACCAACTAAGTCCTTCCACTTCAATAAGGAAGTAACTACAACATGATCACATTTTAGTAATGTTTAAGAACTATGTAGATGCATGAAGTTTTTCAAAACCCTAAACTATTGCTAACACTCCTCTATTGTGAAGTAGTTCACCTCCATTAGTTGTAATGTAAAGTTGATATATGAAATGGGATAGTGCTAATCAGGCACACTTAGGCTCTTTTGCATCAACACACCTCTAAGACCAATATCAAAAGTATCCATGTGCAAAATGAAAGGTCAAGAGTAATCAGGATATGCCAAACCAAAGGAGTCATTAATAGCTCTTTAATAGCCATTTTGAAGCCTTTGAATCCATGACTCAATCTTTTGAGCCTCGTAAACTTTGTCAAAAGAAGGTAGATCTTGCTCTACACCTTATGAACACTAAACATTAAGTATAGCAGCCACTGACAACATAAAATCTTTGTTTAGAAAATCCACAAATGCTAAAACAACAAGCTCATTAGAAATATGATAAAAGAGTGAAAAACGAAGAGGAGTTCAAGAAAGGGCATCAACATCAATTATAGAATTCCCCGGGTGATAAACAACATCAAAATCATATATTTGAAATTTCAAAGCACACTGAATAATATGACCAATTAAGTTCTTCCACTCAATAATGAAGTAATAGTAGCATGATCACCTTTTAGTAATGTCTAAAAACCATGTAGATATGCATGAAGTTTTTTAAAACCCCAAACTGCTACTAAACACTCCTTCTCTATCGTGGAATAGTTTACCTCTACTAGTTGTAATGTACAGCTTATATACTTAATGGGATGGCACTGACCAGGCATAATCGGGCTCTCTTGCATCAACACACTTCCAAGACTAATATCAGAAGCATCCACGCGCAAAATGAAAGGTCAAGTGTAGTCAGGATATGCCAAAACCAGAGGAGTCATTAATAGCTCTTTAAGATCTATGAATGCCCACTCACAATTTAGAGACCAAATGAAAAATTATATTGATGGCTTCAACAATGCTCGCAATAATGCAGTGCGATCAGAAAGATAATTCACAAAATGACTGAGGTACTGCACCTTGCTTAGGAAGCGCTGCACATCATTCATATACTTCAGACTAGG